TTTGTTCGTGAACGGCTTTTATTCGGCTCGGTAAGCAAACGAGCCGAACACGAACACAGTTTTTGAGCTCGAATTATAAACGAGCCGAACACGAGCTGAGCATGACTCGCTCGGCTCTTTCGCACCCCTAATTCATACACTAAAGAATTTGTCATAATTCACTTCATATTAAATTTATTTGAATATTTGTGTGTACAAACATCTATTAAAGATTGAAGCACTTTCACTTATTCAAATAGTCTAAGATTGGTCTTATTCTTTAGTGATTGAGTGATTGTGTTTTAAATTTTAAGGGTGTGGTTTCTTGACTTGAGGTCACGGGTTTGAATCGTGCATATTGCCCTTTGAGCTCATCTTTCTCAAAAAAAAAAAATACACTTAACTGAGGCATAGTAATTGAGGTGGAGTTTCTCAAAGATTAGAGAGGTTACGAAGATAAAATCATGCTAGAGAGCGCATGAGAAATAAATCAGATCACAACTTATTCTTCTAATTCATAGATTAAAGAGCACTGATTTGTCCATTATTAGAAGCATTTAATTAGACATGGCTAATTAAATAAACCAAAAAATAAGTATAATTTGATGTAGTGAAATGAATATCAAATAATCTTTGCCAAAACTAATATTTTTTGGTATGCAAGAAAAATAATATTAATGTTGATCTTTTCATCAATTGTTTATTCATAATTCAAGACTGTTAAATCAGTATTTGAAGTATAGTTTAATTTTTGTTTGGTCAATTTTACGAAAATAAAACCAAATAATAAATAAAAATCAAAGAAAATTATAATTAATAATTGAATCAATAATTTAACCACCAATTTGAATCAACTAAATATGATTTGTTAGTTGATCTTTTTAAATTCTAACATAAAATAAAAAACCTACAAAAAAACAAAAATAAAAAATAAAAATTATAAAATGTTGTTTTGAAAATTTTTAAAAAGCAAGTTAATTTTTTTAAAAAATTACATGGACAGCACACAATTCTCATGTATTTACATATCTAATGCCTGAACTTTCATATTTAGATACTCACATTGATGTTAAACTAGATACTCACATTGATGTTAAATTGATGTTAAACCTATACATGGAAATGTATATTTCACTTTTAAAAGTGATAGTAGAGTGTTAGTTTGATATGTTATTTTACATATTTGAGTATTGAGTGTAAATGTGAAATATGTATATACATACGAGTTGTGTGCTATGCTATGTTGTACATGAAATCCCATACACTTTAAAAATAAACATATGATGAATAAAACCTTGAGAAATATTTAAAATAAAAACTAAAACACTTAAAAAATAGATCAAACAAATATGTTTTTAAAAAACTAAAAGTAACACCAACGACAAAAAAAAACTTTTTATCCCACTATGTGGGGCTGGCTGCATGAATCCTTATTCTCCATTGTGCAAATTAAAGAAGAATTAAATTAATGTGTCATACATTAAAACTATGTGAAAGAATAATTGAACATAGGTTAAGAAGTAATACAAAGATTTCGAATAACAAGTTTGAATTTATGTCGCGCAAGTCTACCATAGAAGCTATGCATTTATTGAGAGGTTCGATGGAGAAGCACCAAGAGAGTAAGGTGGATCTACATTCGATTTTTATTGATTTAAAAAAAAAAAACATACGATAAAGTTTTAAAGAGAAGTTCTTTATAGAGTTCTACAAAAGAAAGGTGTTAATATGATTTATATTTAAGTCATTAAAAAAATGCATACTAGAGTTGTTACTTATGTTCGAGCGTAAGGAGAATTGAACAACTATTTTCCTATTTCAGTTGGATTACATTAACGATTGACTTTTAAGTGCATATCTTTTTGCTTTAGTTATGGATGCACTTTCTGGAAATGTACTAAAGGATGTACCTTGGTGTATGCTTTCCCTGATGATATTAGTTGTGGATAAGAGTAGAGAAATAGTTCAAAATAAACTTGAATTATGGAAGTCTACATTAGAGTCTAAAGGCTTTTGTTTGAGTAGATCTTTTGTTTGAGTAGATCTAATTGTTTGAGTAGATCTAAAACGGAATACATATAATTTAATTTTAGAACTAGTAGATCTAGTGGTACAGTTGTAACAATGGGTGATCTAATCATTAAAAAATGTAAATGTTTTAGATATCTCACGCCTATTGTTCAAAGTGATGGTGATATGGATGAGGATGTTCTTAGTAGAACTCAACTTGGATGGTTGAACTAAAGGAATGCTTCTGGTCTATTGTTTGATAGAAAAATACCCCTTAGACTTGAAAGGAACATTTTATAATATGGTGGTGAGACCTGCAATGCTTTAGAGCGCCAAATATTGGCCTATAAAAGAGAAACATTAAACTAAGTTAAATGTTGCTAAGATGACAACGGTTAGGTGGATGAGTGGCTTGATTCTTAAGAGACAAAATGCAAAATTAATATACTCAAAAAAGAGTTAGTGTTGCTCCAGTGGCAAGCAAAATTAGAGTCATCTTAAATGGTTTCGTCACATTAAATAATGACCATATGATGATCCGGTTAGGATAGCAAGTGTTTTAGATTCGACTTATGCTAAGAAATGTAAAGATAAACCTAAAAATACTTAGACATGTTGTATATCTGGTTAGTGTTGTATATTCATGCTTATCATTGTTTATAGGATTTAAAGGTTATGAATGTAGCAGAAAAAGGAATTAGTCTACTAAAAAAGATATTTCAGGAATAATTTAGTAGCATCACTGCTTCAAATATTTAAATAAAAGAAGGAAACTACAAATTAGTTGCCAAATATTTACTTAGAATTGTGAAAAAAAAAAAGCAAACACAGGAAGAAGAACAATATAAAAAAATACTGTTCTAAATCAAATATACAAATCTCAGGCTTAAATGTAACTGGTGGACTGATTTATCACATAAAAAAAAATTTAAAAAGCATAAGCAGCAGCAGTAATATTACTCAACTTAAGAAATGAAATAGCAGAAAGTCATAATTGTTGTTTATAATAAGGAATCTGACAGTTGTGATTATATTCGTTAAACAAATTAAATTTTCCAGTCTATCAGAAGATTGATATAAATACTAGGGTAAAATAAATTATCCGTGCACATCTGCATAGCAGTTGAAGAACACACTTTAACAAGAACAGGTAGAAGAGATGAAGACTAGCGATGTATTTCAATTTTTTATCTGCAATCATTTTCACAAGTCCTAAAGAGTACAGCCTTCAAAATAAGAAACTCAATAAAATTTGCAGAACAACAAAACTTAACACTAACCAACATAAACTCCTCGGTGGAAAACCTTCCATAAAATTCAATTCCTGAATTGCTTCCAGCAAAAAACAAGAAAGGAATTCCCGTGAACAGAGATGGAGAAGCAAGCATAAGGGGTAATTGTAACAGTGTAACCTAGAGATAGTTATCATAGTAAAGTGACTTGGAGTGCAAAGCAAGCAGCAAAAACACAAACCATTGAGCAATGCAATAATAGAACTTGATCGGGAACATTTTTATTTTTTATTTTTTGTTTTTAATTTTATTTTACAAAATAAGTTTGTTTAGTGCATTTTTTTACTTGTTTTTATTTTTTTATTTTTAAAAAGAAATTAGCTTGTTTTTAAAAACACTCAAAACATCTAAAATTCTTTTCAGAGCTTTTAAATTCAACATATTATATCATATCAAACATGTTTTACTTTAATCGAACAACAACAACAACAACAAAACCTTTATCCCACTGAGTGGGGTCGACTACACGAATCTTTTTCTCCATTGAGTCCTATTTAGTGTTATATTTTCATTTAATTCTAATAAATTAAGATCATTTTTTATACAATATGCCCAAGTCATCCTAGGTCTACTCCAACCTTTCTTAACATAAGTCAAATATAAAACATCTACACTTCTAACCGGATCATCAGATAGTCGACGTTTAATGTGACCAAACCATCTAAGTCGACTCTCTCAAATTTTGTCTGTCACTGGAGCTACACCAACCCTATAACAGAAATGCAAAAGAAAAATGCAAAATGTGCTTTAATAGAAACAAAAAAAAATGCAAAATTAAAATTAAAATAAAATAGTAAAAAAAATTCAAAAGTGATCGCAAATGTGTCTTAAGGGCTTGTTTTGGGTCGATTTTACTTTTTGTTTTGTTTTGAAAAACGTGCTTGTTTTGAATTTTTATTCATATTTTTATTTTTTTATTTCTAAAAACAACTAAACATGTCTTTTAAAACA